GAGGAAACCCACAGGAAAGAGTCAGTGGGAGGGAAGCTAAGAGAGAAAGGAGTAAAAAAAACAAGGAGGGAGAGGCCAGATCAGAGTGCTGTGGTTTTCTTTGAGAGGAGGAAAGACTCTTTTACTGTATGTGTGTTGGTGTGTGTACATTACACCTGAGGGTGCTGTGTATGTGTATGTACTGTTGTACATATAATTGTAAAAAAAGTTTCTATGTTCCTGTATTTCTACCACTTTCTAAGTGAGAGCTGGTGTGTATGTACTATGTACACTAAAAGCAGCAGTGCTCAGTATATGATGACTTAATGTCTATACATTAATACCTTTCTGAAGACATCAGCAACACTATGTTTGGATATATGACCTCTTAGATTCCATTGTGTGCAAAGTGTTTCATTTCTATTTATGCTAAAAATTGTGAAGTGATGTTTATTTGCATGTACTGTAGAAGTGTGTATGCATGTGTATGTTGTTGTGTTAGTGCACTAAAAAGCTACAGTTCTCAGAATACAGGTGTGGCCAAAGGTGTGTGTCTGGAGGGCTTGTATTGCCATGGATATAAAGACTGATTTCAGCTTTAAACCACTGTAGTGAGGACATTTCATGGTGAAGATGTTTTGACTGGTGCTTACTACTTCAAAGGGCTGTTTGAAAGTTAAAACCTGGTTTTAAGGTTAGAATTAGGTGAGGTTTAGGGTCGGGGTAAGGGTTGGGTTTAGGTATGTTATTCTGACAGGTCAGGTTAGGGTTAGTGGGTTGGCAAATGCAATATGTGTATGAGGGTCCCCACATGTATTGAAAGACAAATGCGTGTCTCTGTTACTGTCCGTCTAAATCTGATTGTGTGTGCATGCGTCTATAAGTACTTATGTTTGCTTGCAAGTATATGAACAGTCAGAGTATGTGTTTTGCTAGGCGGTAGGGTATCCATAAGAGGGTCCAGGCATTCTGCCCAAAAGCAGGTCAGGGAGAGAAAAGAGGGAGAGGAGCCGCTGGAGGTGGGATACTCGTGTGGTTATGAGTCTTGCGCATGTCTACTGACATGACTTCAGTTTGCATGTGTGCCTGGAAACATATGATCCTGTGTGTGTGCCTTCACAATACCTCCACATAGCAGCGTGTGTGTATCTGTGTATGAAAGAGAAGTTGCGAGGTTGCTGTGGAATGTGAAACCAGTGTGGTGAGGTAGCTGGCAGGCCAGCAGAAGGACCTAAACACTGACTTCATTGTGGTTTAGCCTCTGCCTCATATTATGTTGGGGGATCCTGTCAGTGATTGTGGAAGAATTTGTGGTGACAGCAGTTTAGAAGTTAAAGAGGTGTAGGCTAAATGTAGCTGGAAATTTGCTGGCTTGAATGCAGCCAGGGAAAGTAAATTAAGAATGCTTTTACTGCCAGCTATCATTAAATAGCCATAGTGGGACACCCAAACAGAGGTTTTGTGTCACAAATCTACTTGCAACCTAGCGCCATTTGAAAGTTCTACTGGAGGCAAACACTGGCTAAAAATACAGTGTCACTACTGCCTAGAAAAACAAATACCTGAAAACATGTTTGTGCTATGTGTGTAACATTTCAAGTGAAAGTGAAAAGTCTGCAGCATAGATTTGTTTCAAGATTTCATTAAATGATTAGTTTGATATTTTGTGAAAAAAAATTATTTTGGGTTAGATAAGAAAATCAATACAATTTTCATGTTACATTAATCCAGGAAATGATTATCTTATTGTACAGACTGAAAAAGGGGGGTAACAGCTAACCTGGCTCTGCTAGAAGGTATTAACACAATGTTGATGAGCTGATCATTCACCGCAGCAGTGGGCTTCACTTGCCAGCTGCTTGTAGGTTAGAGCCGGTCATGTAAAACAGCGAGTCCCTGTACAGGAACATTCCTGGACATGCAGTAATCTCAGGCCCAGTGTTTTTCTCCACATCCTCTGTTCACAGTGCAGCAGGAGGAGGTAAAATATATCCACAAAACCACACACAGTTGAAAGATTCCGCTTTTACAATGACACCAGTGGATGTCAGGCAGCTTCACATGAACGGCAACTGCCTGGAGATTATAACCATTCAAGGAAATTCTTTATCTTGTTTGAAAAAAAAATCTCGCTCGCGATGGTTTGCAAGATGTGGGTAAACTGAGTTGCTTTAAACTGAGTATTAGAACATATGTATACCTCATTTTTTGAGCTTTAGATCACATCTAATATGATAATTCACAATTGTAGCATTGTAGATAAATCAGAAAACAAGGAAAAGTGCCATGGATTCTTTAACCCGTCATCATAGTGAATAAACATACTTCCCTACGTGTATCCAGTCTCTAGTTTCTACCAGCGGTATCTTTAGATTTATAAAGTGATGGTGAGTGATGGTACAGGAAGCAAATATTTTACTTCAAAAATGATCTCAACACAAAGATATGATTTGGGATATGCAAGGAAGCTCTCAGTTGTGAATGTTGTGTAACAGTGGGATTGAAAAGCAGTGTTACTGAAAACCAGAGTACACAAGCTGTGTCAACTTTCCCAGCAGCTGTGGAGAAGTTGCTTTTCCACCCTTGGTTTCCTCCTGTGAGATTTTCTTTTCTTTGAAGCAGATCTCTGTGTTTTGAGTCATTTAGTCTAACAAGAAGTTACAAGCTGAGTCATAGACCAGGGGGGCTCTTACGACTAGGGATGGAAAACTACTGCAAAATCTAAAATAGTCTTTTAGCGAAGGTGGATGCAGATGATCACAATAACAAACCCACATCATGATGCTTCTCAAAGGTTTTTCCCTCAGGAACAGAACAACAACTAAAATTCACAACACAAGTCATTCTCAACTAACCCAGTAGTCTTTGACTACAGCTAAATTTAAGGTGGAGAAAACCTCCTGGATACTGCATTTGCTGTTAGGATTATTTTAGAAAACATGACATTGTTCAAGAAGGAAGCCCTCAGATTTTTAGCTTTACTGACCACCAACCTGCTGCCTCCTTCTGAGATTTGGGATCTAATGTTTACCCATTAAGAATTCCAGGACCTTCAAAATAAGCAAATAAAAGGGAGTCATGCACTATTATTTATTTATTTATTATTATTTATATATAACATGTACATATTGTACACTTTATATATTGGTTCAAATTAACTTGAATTAAATGCCTATAATCATTTATGTTGTAAAATACACCAAATAATATGTCATCATGGTGACAAAGTTAGTGGCTAGCTGGTGAACATAGCATTTAGCAACCAGATATTTACTTCAGGAGTTGGTGGAGACCAAAAGAGAGAATTAATATACACTCATCAAGTTGTCAGAAGCACAATTTCAAATTAAAGCTACTGTTTATTATTGTCTATTGACAATATGTCAGTATTACTTTCAAAAGAATACTGAAAGCTACTTTGCCATATCTTGCAAAGAAGAAACTTAACTAAATAGCCAAAGGAATTTTGATCAAAACTGTTGCAAAGATCCAAAGATAACAAAACCTGCAATGGGTATCACATCTTATTGGCTGGTTAACCTGTTTTTTTTTTTTTTTGTTTGTTTTTTTTTCCTGGGTGGACAGCAATAACCAACAGCCATGTGGTCATTGGACGAACCCCTGGACCTGAAGCTTCCATCAGGGCGGACAGATGGCCCAGTGAGATTAGGAAAGAGGGCTTTTTATTCCTCTATCTGTGCCCCGCTCAGGGCCACACGACCACGCCTGCTATGCACAACCTTTCCTTCACCACCATCCTCCCCAGGTAAGTGTTAACCAAACAGGTGGTCTCAGAGCATATCCTTGACAAACTCTGCATCCCAATTCTTATACACAAGTGCATGCCTTTGCTGATGCCCTGTTGCAGTGCGGATCATCACTGGGATAATGCAGTAGTATAATAAAAGGCTATAATAACTGGATTCTCTGTTCTCACTACGTCAGTAACTCAATATTGCTAATTCAATCAACAGTCCTGCTCTTCTGCACTCAAAAAGACCTACATTGTCACTAGATTTTTCAGTGTGACTCATAACAAGAGGAGTGTGACAGTGACGTGAAGTGACCTCAAAGAAAACCACAACATGGCCTCTGTGACAGTTTAAATGGATCATTAAATGTCATACTTGATAGCCAGCTTGCTTAATAATGTGCAGAATTTATAACTTAACTGTGTAGGTGTCATTGTCTGCTCCATGTGTATGACGTTGTTTAATAATACCCTTTTGCTTCCTCATTTCTGTGCATCTTGTGATGCCACTACATGTATGTAGTAGCTTGTAGGCACTACATGTACAGAACACATGCAGAAATGTTTTGGTTTTTTTTTTTTTCAATGTGACAAATGTAACATCATCCCATTTTAACTTTAATCTGGAAACTAGATTCTCAGGCTTCCTGTCAAGAACGACCAGGGTCCTGCTTCACTCCACCGGCCATGGACCTGAGCCTTTCACCATCTTCCCGCCACACCTCCTCCCCATCCCCCTCCTCCCCTTCCTCGCCCCTAGGGTATCCTCACAACAGCAGCAGCCCTCAGCCACATCGCTTCTATCAAGTGAGTCCAGGCTTTTACATAGTGACAGTAGACTAACTGATGAATTTCTAAATGGTAGCAGCTTTCACAAATGACTGTATGCTCACAAACTGCATAAACAGTATATTGGTCCTCCAGGGTTCTCACATGCTCATGCATAGGTAACAAGTATTGCATTTGTTTTAATTTGTAAAATGTGTCAAAATTAATAAATGAGAAAATGACATCTCACTACTGTACCCTAACTTGTCTTCATGATAAAAATGTGGCCAGTGTCTGTTGTACTTATTTTAAATATGACTGTGAGAATCCAAGACCTTGAGAGAAAACCACTCTGTGTAGGTGTGCAACTTCATGTAATCAGTCATTCTTGTTCATAGCTATGACCAGTGTTCTCAGAATAACCTAACCA